AACAATAACGTCACATTATCTTTCAAAGACACCAGAAATTAGACCTTTTCATGAATCATTCAGGAGCGATCAAGTGGGATAAGTTTCAAAGGAGAAGCGAGATCTGAAGACTTTTATGCTGCTCTGCCATCATTACACTTTTTTCATTGGTTTCTCAAATGAGAAAATGATGATTTAAAAAAAAGGAAAAAATTCTTGTGACTGTTTTTTCTTTTTAAAAAAAACAGTTCAAGACAAGGTCAGCAAAAAATAAATAAATATAAAGCTAAAAATATCTGCATGGTATCTTATAATAAGGGTCAGTGAGGACATTTTAGAGTTTTTTATTCTCCAGGAATAGATTGAAAAATATGATGACAAATGAAAAAACACAACATAATACTGTAGCAAATGTAAGTAGGTACATATAGTGGTAAATAAATGTAATAAAAGTAAATAAAAAGTCCTAAAGAAAAACTTTTCTTGATCCTATATTTACTCTCGACGTTGTGCTTCTGTGCATTGTCTCCTCGTTCGCTTCATTCCCGCAGAGGATTTTGTAAACACATCACACGCTCGGTTTGAAGCAGAAATCCATAACCTCTTTCTTGTACGTCTGCCTGACATTGTGATTCCCTCCCCGGAGTGACGGCAGTACAGTGTGTATCAACATGTAGCAGCTGCAGAGATGAAATAACTTGTCTTGTCTGCTCACTTTTTTTCTTTATGTGATGGTAGCGCATCAGGTCACACATCAGGCTTGTTTCTTGTTTTGTTTTGTTTTTTTCTATTCTTCCTCTGTTCACATACCGCCTCAGGCCAACGTCCTCGTCGTTCTCATTACGCTTTGAGGGCAGATGGGTAATTAAACGTGCGGCGAAAGCTGATTTCGCTCACGTAGCCAAGCCCTGTTTAACGCGGGAAAACACCTTAATTTGTCCTGCACGCGGTTGTGAACAAAGACGTTCAGGATTTCTGCACCATTGTCGGCCATTTTTAAAAAATAATCTCCCAGCTCCTACCTCCTGGAGTCACCAGGCCTTTAAAGACGCAGACGTTCTCCCCTCCGTTGACCTGCTGCAGCACCTTCAGCTCGTCCTGAGTCGAACCTCGGTGACCTTGTCCCAGGTAGGTCATCGTCACGGTGACGTTGGATTTCTTTGCCTCCCGTTGTGCCTTTAGGTTACTCTGACATAAAGATAGAAGAACAGGGAGTCAACAAGAAGGTACAAAGGCATGTCTGAATTCATGGAACTGGAAGTTTAATAGTCACCTTACCTGTTTTTTAGGGCAACCTCCGTTTTCTTGTTTTGTTTGTTTGTTTTTTGCAACTTATGTCAGATCTATTATTTAACTTAGTCCAGTGTGACATATTTTTGTGTGTTTGCTTTGTAGTATTGTTGATCACAGCTGCTTTCTCTGATTTTGAATCTAGAGATGTGGGTCTGACAGTTATATTTTTCCTTCATTAATTTCTGATTTTAACATTTCTTTTATTTGAGCCGATATTTTACATTTATTTACTTATTTATTTACTTATTTATTTACTTATTTATTTATTTATTTATTTATTTATTTATTTAATGGTTTGTGCCGTATAGATTGAAAAGTTTTTTTTAAATTTGTTTTTCCTATTACATACATAATCACCTACATGTGCTGATTTTATCTGACACCTTCTCCTACAAATATTGCCATATATGTTAGATTATTTGGACCATTAGAATTTTTTTTCTAATTTCTTTAAACACCAGTGTAAGTCTGCTTCATTTAGTTTTTTCTCTTTTTATTTTCTTATTTTTTTAAATTCATTTAAATTCACAGTATGTTCGAGTATAATCTGTGTTTTTCTTTATAATTCTTCAATTCTCCAAAATATTTTTTGTTCTTTTTTAAAAAAAAATTTTAATCTGCATTCTGCAATAAATTAACTTTAGAGAGTTTTGAGAAAACACAAAATATGACAGAAGACTGTATCTGGTAACAGAACAAATTATAATCAGTAAAACAATCAGGGACAAGCTTGCTGTCCTAGGATGGACCCGCTATTGTTAGTTTTTGTTTCGATTTCATTCGTACATTTACGGTATTGTCAAGGTCAGGGATGCATAAAATGAAACACTAAGTTTTATAGAATACTGTTGGATTAGGAGCAGTCGACTGCCAACAGCTGTTAAAGAAGAATTCAGGTTTATTTTAAAAATCTAGCAATGGCTTGATTTTGTTTATGCATTCTAATTACGACATGTTTTTTTATTTAAAAAAACAACAAAAAAAACCCCACACACATCAGCTCACCTGCTTTTTCGGGTGATTTCCTGCTTTTTGAGACGTAACCGAGGAGAAAGATCCTCTCCGCTTGTCGTACAGGTAAGGGCAGGACTGACTCAGAGTCCCTCGGATTGAGTTCAGACTGGAAGCCTTTGTTGTTGTGATGGCTGGGAGGTAAACGTCACCTTTTCCATGTCTGCCACGATGAACTGTTGGCTCATCCAGCTGTAAGATTTCACAAAAAAATCACACTGAGCTTGGCTTTGTTGGCTTTACATTGCATGTATTCTACTAATCTTCTGAGAGCTGCTCACGAATATGACTTTTAAAGGATGACATGGTTCAGAAGTCTGCTGCGCAAAATAAAACATTCCTCCTACCGGTTGTCTCTGCGAGCTACAGCTGTAAAACATGATTTAATACAGTCCTTGTTCTGTGTCAGTGTGTTTGGTTTTGCCTGTACTCAGCTCTCTCCTCTCTCTGTCTGTTTGTACTGCTCTTATTGGAGTTTCATACCATTTTTCATAAGACAACTAACAGGGGTTTAGACACCTACAGGGAACCCAAGCAGAGGTAAATTCAATCATGTTGCATACATGCATACATCTTTTGCCTGACAATGACTTTCGGGCAAACAAAAGAAAGGACTGCTGTGTATATGCTCAGACAGTTATATGGTTCTAGTGTATATTTATTTAATATACAGTCAAATGTATTCACACCTTCCCTTTAAAGAAGGAAAACAAACAGCCGTCACTGAAATAGTTTAATAATTGCTGTTTTTTTTTTGTTGTTTTTTTCCACCATTCTTCAGCAGTGTCTTCTTTTTTTACTTTATTATTTTTTAGCTTTTTTTTTTTTATTACTTTTTTTTTTTTTTTGTTATTTGAGTGACTTTTGTGAATTTTGCCTTTTCTTTAATGGAAGAGTGTGAATACATTTGAGGACGACTGTATGCTGCATTTCTGCGCAAATGGTTATTAAATCTAAACTGCAATTATTGAAACTCAGCCCTTCTCTATGGGAAACATGCCACAGCTGTTAAATATACTAATATTTGAAGAAAGTGCATCACAGAGGAATTCCTGTCTTTTATGCCTCTGCTAGATTCACTAGTATTTCTGGATATACACGCCTCCTTCTCCTTCTCGTTCTACCACAGAGCACCAAGTTTTGTTACAAATCTTAAATCTCCTTTTCACCGTTGCAGGAGGATGTTTTCTTTGCTACCTGGACTTTTTCCTCCTGTTTGTTCCCTAAGCTGCACCGAATTGGGCCAATTTGCTCAGAATCTGGTGCTTGAATCCTTAAGAGCTAAACTCTGACCCTGTTTGATCATCGTCACTGATGACTTGTGATATAATGCAGTTTTAATCTGTGTGTGAACTGTATTTACCGGTAAATTTGTGCTACTGCCTGTCTTGCTTTATCTAAATGAACTTTTTTTTTCTGCTTAAATGAATGTAAAATTACAAAATACATGTAATTAGTGCGACCAAATGTTACACTAACAAACAAGAATCACACATGAAAATATAAAGGAAGTAACGTTAACTAGGATTTGACTGGTTTTCTCAACATGTTTCATCTGCAACCTTTATACAAAAGTCCTGCTGTGCACTTCACTTCAGCATTAAGAGCTCTACCTCCTCATTATTTATGACAGTGTTTCTACTTTTCTATCATTTTTTAAAGACTTGTTCTCTTTTATTGCCATTGCACAGCGTTGAGAACTTTGCATCTCACTGCACATCCTGTTGAGCACGGGAAGAACTGACACAAGCAGGAGCAACTTGCAAGCAACCACCTGCATGGAGGATTTTATCTGATGCATTCTTTCAGAAATATTACTCAGGTTATCTGGACCACAATTACAGTTTTAAAGCTTTAAACACCAATATGGTGTTTCATGTAGTATTTTCCTTTTTAGTTGGATTATTTGTTAATTTATTTAAATTAAATTCAATCCCTTTATTGTTTGGATGATTTGCTGCTCCACAATATTCCTGTGCAGCACCTTGATGTGTTAATACAATATGTGTGGGTATAATCAGCATTCTGTAAAACTCTGCAACTCTCTGAAGTAGTTATTTATTAATGAATACATTTAGAATTCAGACAGGCAAATGTAAAATACGATAGGGAATGGTACATTTTTTTTTAAAAATCTAATAAAGACTTGATTTTATTTGTGTATTTTAAATGCAACATGTAAAAATGGCAGCATCTCTGGCTGTAGTAGCAGTAATAGTAGTTTAAAGCTTTGCTGACCTTGTAGATCTCCACAGTATCCGGATTCTCCAGGAGCAGCAGTTTGCTCTTTGCTCTAATCAGACTGGCGATGGAGCGAATCATCTTAGCGTCTCTGGGCTGAGCCGGGATCTGTTGTACAGAGAAACAACAAAACAAGAATGTTCAGGTGCACAACGTTCACAGTAAACACGGATCAGAAACATGCTAATCAGGCGCTTACAGGCGTATCTCTGCCTCCTCCATGAACCCCTCTGTAGAACAGGTCCTGGAGCAGAGTCTGGCTGTTTCTCCTGATTCTTCTCATTGATTCTTTCTGATACGACTCCATTGAATCTGCAGCTCAGGCGGAAACAGCAGCACGTGTGTTTTAACATACAGTCCACACTTCTGTTTACGCTCTAGGGTTACATTTCCTGCTTTTATACTGACTTAAATGAGCAAAAACAACTGTTTAGATACCTGGAAAGGTGCTGTGCTGACATTGCAGTAACAATGAGGTGGAAATAAGGCGAAAATTAAATTGCTATTTGAGGATTTATTTGATTTTATGTTCTTCAAATCAGACAGTGAATGCATCTGAGGCACATCTGCAGTTGCATCTGTAGTTTCTTTGCAGGTGGTGACATAAAAATCCACAGTATTCCACAGAAAAGAGCAGACCTGCAATGCAAAACTGCACACAACAGCACCTCACATTATCAAATAAACACGAGCCATGAAGAGCACAGCCTCAAAGTCGACGATGCAGACTTCAGCAGACTTTTTAAGTTAGTTTTGAAAGTGCTGATCGAACTGCAGCCCCTCACATCATCAGACAGGCGAGTCCATCGATTTTTGTGGCTGTTACAGAGAAAGCTGATTGCAATCCGGCGTAGAAGATATTCTGGCGGATTTAATGCAATTTACCAAGCGAGCATAAACAAAATCGCGCTGTAGATGATGGACGAAGTCTTTTAGAGTTTTAGGGATGATTTTGAAATCGTTTAGAATTCAGGAGGCACGAAGAAGCGCATTGAGTTTTAGTGTCGAGTTAATAGAATTTGCTCGGATAAAATGCCAAGATATCACCTTGGACTGACAAGTGGGCAAAAAAGTCTGAGGTTGTTATTTTCCTGTTATTACCTCACTCAGCTGTCATATAAAATACAATCTGATGATGATAGAACAGAAGTTGTGTGAGAAATTAAATGAGAACTTAGAGTCGTGAATAAAAGTTTCCAAGGGTGTGTATCAGGGCAGTGTGGAGTTTCCAGTGACCGCTAGAACACAGAATGTTCTACGACTCTCTGTCACAAAATCAATCATGTATTTTGGTTCCTTCATAGATTTATTAGAGGTCTCCTGGGAATATGTCAGAATCTATTGGGTCAAAAATATACGTACAGCATTGCTACCTAGGCGCAGTTGGTAGCGCTGTTGCCTCACAGCAAGAAGGTTGCCGGTTCGTGTCTCGGTGGGGGCACCGGGATCTTTCTGCGTGGAGTTTGCATGTTCTCCCCGTGCAGCGTGGGTTCTCTCTGGGTTCTCCAGCTTCCTCCCACACAGTCCAAAAACATGGTGTGAATGTGAGTGTGCTTGGTTGTCTGTCTCTAAGTGTAGCCCTGTGATAGACTGGTGACCTGTCCAGGGTGTCCCCTGCCTTCACCCTGAGTCAGCTGGGATAGACTCCAGCCCCCCCGCGACCCTCGTGAGGATTAAACGGTGTATAGATAATGGATGGATGGATGGATGGATGGCATTGCTACCTAACACTAACATTTCAACCTCAACTCTGCATTTTTTTTGTAGCCGTCCACAATCTTCTGGTTGCATCTTTGAGCCTCCTCTTGACAGAATTGATGCAGTTATACAAAACTTGTTGGCTTTCTGGTAGGTTTCTTCAGTACAGTCCACAGGTTCTTGATTGAAGTCAGGATCAGTAAACCAGTCTAAAACCTTCATTCTAGCCTGGTCTAGCCATTTGTGTTCTATTTTCTTCTGTGTTTGGGGTCACTGTCTGACTAGAACACCATTTTTTTTAGATGATGATTTTTGGTTTTCTTGAAGAATGTGACAGTAATCCATCCATCCATTATCTATACAACGCTTAATCCTCACGAGGGTCATGGGGGGCTGGAGCCTATCCCAGCTGACTTAGGGTGAAGGCAGGAGACACCCTGGACAGGTCACCAGTCTATCACAGGGCTACACTTAGAGACAGACAACCAAGCACACTCACATTCACACCTACGGACAATTTAGAACCACCAGTTAACCTCAACATGTTTCTGGACTATGTGGGAGGAAGCTGGAGAACCCGAAGAGAACCCACGCTGCACGGGGAGAACATGCAAACTCCACGCAGAAAGATTCTGGTGCCCCCACCGGGACGCAAACCGGCAACAGTGCTACCAACTGCGCCACCCTGCAGCCCCGTGACAGTAATCGGTCTTCTTCATTATTCCATTTACTTTGCATAACACACCGGTCCCACTATTTTGGAACCTTTGTCATATTTCCAGAAGACCTACACTAAATCTATGAAAGAACCAAATCACATAATTGTTTTTTGTGACAAAGATAAAGTTTCCAGAGTTTTAGGAGTCACTGGAAACTCAAGACTGCATTGATACACACAGTCTTCACAAGGGTACGTAAACTTTTGTTCACAACTGTATGTGGAAGAAAGATCTTTTTTTTTTTTTTTTATCTGAGTCAGCAGGATGTGGAATATAATTCAGTCAGGCAAGGAAGATATAAAGTCGTGAGATGAGAGTCTGGAGTTGAGAATAGATTGAGACTGGAGCTGTGGGGGTCACCGTCTTCGCTGGGAGTTCATTCCTCATTCTGGTTTCCTCCTGAGGGAAATCTAGATTAACATGACACCGATCTTTTGGTTTTTCCACTGTTGACTAACAAGCCTCCATTGTTTCGGTGCGCAACCCCGTCGGTGAATTGCAGTATCTGTAATCTAATCTGTGCGTCTGCGGCCGTGTCATCTGCAGAGAGAGGAGGCGGCAGGCAGGCAGCCATCTCCTGAGATTAGCGGCCTGCAGTCTGTATGCATGAACGCACCTCGGCCTGGGATGGTGGATGGAGGAGAAAACGTAAGAAGTTTGCTTTGTTGTCAATCCAGCTTATTCTCCTAACGGCTGTTGCAATCAAAACGTAATTAATTATGCGTTTGTGTGACTTTTAGTGGCTGGAGAGCACTTTTGCAGTTTCTACCAGAATGCTAGCACAACAAATACGCAGAAGAAACAATATATAAAGACTTGTGTTGCATGATGTTGTAGCTGCATTTGAGATGTGCAGCATCCTGTTATCTGGTTTAGCTTTTGTTTTAAGGCCTTT